CAGATGCTCCTCTCAGGCCAGGGTGGAAATGTGAGTCCCAGGAACTGCTCTGGAAGGGGAGGGGGATGCTTCAGGCTGGGGGTCTGGCAGGGACTGGCAGGGATTTTTCTTCCCATCCCTGCTGGGAGCTGGGTGCACCCAGTGGGAAGAGGGAAAGGAGGAGAGTCATGATGGTAGAGCCCAACTTCCATAGTGATCCTCACCTCTGGTCCAAGCACACTCCCAGATCTTCTTCTGGGGTTATTTTGTAGGGAAAACAACCCTATTTCCCTGTCTGCATCTCCCCCTTCCAGAGAAATGGATTTTGGGATGGGGTTGCTGCCCCAACCCCTGCCTCTAATTAAGGAGAAGGGTTTGTTACATTTGTGCCATTAGCAGGATTTTCCTTGGAGAAACTTCCTGAGCATTGATTCCTGTTCAAATGGGAAAACAAACACACAGTTTGTTGTGTTAATTACAGCTGGCATTCCCAGTGGGCATCCAGACTATCCCAAGCACTGTGTCCTCTGCACTGGTGGTGTATCCTGCGAATGCTGCTCCATCCCTGCTCCTCTGTTGTCCCAAAGTGGAGCTGGGATGGTTCCACAGGCAGTGCCAGTGTTCCCAGCATACTGGCAGCAACTGGACTGGCCTTGAAGTGGCCAAGTTTGTGCAGAAATCCTAAGGACACAGAAAGACTTTGGAGAAGCTCTTTGGTGGGGAGTGCTCTCCTGGTACTGACAGGAGACAGAAGAAATAGTGCAGGCAGGGCAGAATTCCCATTTGGCACAGAATTCCCTGTGAAAGCACCATCCCTCTGACTGCTGCTTCCAGATCCCACTGGAAGTGTGAGCAGACAGGGAGCTGAATTCACTATTAGAAATCCAATTCAATTTGGGTTTTTTTTAATGTCATTTATGATGAGGTTTTTCATCCCACCTGCAAAATTTTGATGTGGACAGATAGTCTGTCCTCTTCCATATAAATTGGCTGTCTGAAGTTGGCTCCTTTCCTAGGCAGCCAAATTCCGTGTGCTTTCTCAGAGTCATGCAGCCAGTCCTCCAGAGCTAAAAATGCAGGAAGAGGGCACCAAATTGAAGCTATTTTGGAGTTGAGGTCACTTATATTTACTTGGCCAGGCTGGAGATCTGCCAAAAGCCAAACCAGAATGGAGGGAACACTGATTGCAACCTAACCTGCTTCCTGAAGAATCCAGAGAGAGCAAGGATGAAAACTAGGGAGCTTTCCTAGTTGATCTAAGCAGGGAGTCAATTTCTTCCTGTCCTAAATTCTCACATGTCCTTTCTAACAGCAGAACTAAGGAGGTTGTATGGGGTAAGCTTGGAGATACCAAAACCTTGAGCATCCCAGGGAATTTGCTCCTTGTGGGTGAGTGATGGGAGGACACTGGGATCTCCTGGAGATCTACCTGTGTCTCAGCCTGATCCCAGGGGAGTGGGAGAGCCCTGTTGGACCAGCAGGTCTTGGATGTCTCTGGTTTTGAGTACACACAGGCAGTTTTCGTCCTGCAGAGCTGCAGGAATTCCTGCTGCAGCCCCTGGAGGGTGCCACAAGGGAATGGCAAGGGCTGGCTGGGGTCAGTGCTTCCCTTAGGGAAGGCAGGTGCTCTGGAAAGGGAAGGAAGAATGGAATGCAGCCAGGGAATCCTGGTTCAGGTTCTAGATGAGTGCTCCAGCTCTGCCCTCCCTGGTGGTATCACCAGCTCCTTGCAGTCTCTCCTTCCATATTTTCATTAAATTCATGGAATGTCCCTGTGTGTGTGACCCCAACCCTCTGTCAGATTTCCCTGATGGAAATCATCACAAACATTCAGGGGGAATATGTGTGGATCCATGCAGAGCCTGCTTGTGCCAACTCTGTTTCCACATGACAGCAGGATGAACCAAAGCAGCTTCCCACAAAACTCTGGGAAATCTCCTGTTCCGGCTGCCTTTTCCACCCAAATCTGGAGCTGGGACAGCTCAGGTGACGCCCACAATCCTGTGCTGGAGCACTCAGTGTACCCTCCATGCCAGGCTGCATGTGAGCCCAGGTGGGAGCTGGGATGTGTCTGGGATCTGGGAAGCAGCGTGGGAGAGAGTCAGAGCTGGGAGAAGACTGGCAGGAAATGGGAGTGAGTAAATCAGCCGAGCTCGCCTGAGTTGTGACTAAAGGGGGAGCGTGAGACATCTGCAAATATTAGAGATGTGTAAACACGGAGCAGGGAGAGGGAATGGTGGAGGGAATGATTGAAGGGAGTGAACTTTTGGATGGAAAAATGTAGGTCAAGTATGAAGGAAAACTTGTAGGCAGCGAGATAAATGCTGTAAAACAACCTCCTTGGGAAACACGAGGAAGTCCCACTGATGGAGATGTTTATCCTGAGGCAGATGAGGGTTGGAAAAGAGGCTGAGCTGGAGGGATGGATTCAGGGTGTCCATCCCAGATGGGGCTGGGCACACCAGTGATGTCCATCCAGCTCCTTGTGTGTTCATAATTCCCTTTTAAACTGCAGGCTGGTTGTGGTTTAGTTAATCCATCCGGATTTTAATCCTGAAAATTTCTTGGCTGTGAGAGGAATTCACCTGTCTGACTTCAGCCAGTTCAAATTCAAGCAGGTCATCCACACCAGCTGTCCAAAATCCTGGATGGTCACCAGGGGAAGGAGAAGCTCATCCAGCCCCTCACTGCCAGACACTCCGAGGGTCGGGGTGTTCTCAGGACACGCTCTCCTTGTTGCTATAAAGGCAGCCCAAATAATTAAGGTTATTAATAAGGCCCCTCTGTGTTTTGTTCCAGATTACACTGGAATGTGTCTGGAATGTGTGGAAACCACAGCATCATGTCCAGGCAGGGGCTTGTTGAGTCCTCAGATTGGAATAAGGATATGGTCTATCTGAATAAATCCTGGGCACTCAGTGGATGCTTTGGAGCCCATTTTACACCCCCTGGTGCTGTGTCCCTTCAGTGTAAGGTGTCACTGTCCCCTGAGCTCTCTAACCCTCCTTTACCTTCTGTTGAGGTTCCATAGCAGCAGTACCAGGTCCTGCTTTCCCAACAAGAAAAACTTGTGGTGCTTGCAGAGGGCCATGTGCCACCCACTGAGGGGTCCTGCTGTGTCCTCCTTGCTGTCCCCATGTCCCCAAGGGAGCAGAGGCCGTCAGGGAGGGCAGTATTGGAGTGGGGGTTGTGGCCTCTCCAGAGCGTGGCCTCTTCCTCCTCAGCTCTAGGGAATCAGCTCGGGCAGATCATGGAGTCGTGGAATGGTTTGGGTTGGAAGGGACCTTAAACCCATCCTGGCCCTGGACACTTCCAGGGATGACATGTTCAGGGATGCAGATCCAGACCTCAAAACTCTCCTGCTTGTGTCCTCACACTCTGCAGAGTCATTCCCTCCTCTGGAGCCGTTCTACCGTGTCCCAGTAATTAACATCCAACAGGACAAGGAGAACAAGCACCTGCATTCCCTCATCCCAGGAGGAAAACCCTGGCCACAGTACTGGGGACTGCTCCAAAATGTTCACTCCATAAATTTTGTCCTAGTGCCCTTTATACTTTTTGGGATGAAAGTTTCACCAAAGCTAACACAATTCTGTAAAAATTCTGGGTTTCATGATTTGGCATTTTCCGGGGGAAAAAAACAAACTAAAATAACTTGCCAAGAATTTCCCAACCAGCTTTAATCCTGAGACACTACTGTGGTCCAAACAAATGATGATAAGGATCTATAGAAAACATGGGAAAACAAAGATGTGATGGCTTTAAAGCCTCCAGAAAATGAAAATGCAGCTGGAAGGAGGAGCAGGGAGTTTCTTTAAGCATGCCAAGGAGGGAAACTCCCTTTGAATCACAGGGAGCCCTTTCTAGCTGGTTTCAAAGGAAGTTGGATGCGGTGGTGGAATGACCGCGGTGCTGTCACTCGCGCCCACATGAGTTCATGGATGAGATGGAAGTGCCACGGGTTTCTTGCAGCCTGAGGAATGATGTACACCAGGAGAAATGGGAGCTTTCCCTCCCTCTCTGCTACAGCCAGTGGAGACAACTTCCCCTGTGCCTGATGCTGGGGAGAGAAGGGAAATTTGGGAGTATGGTTGTAACTGAGGCCGTGTGGGCTATGCCCAGCTGTCTGCCATGGGCACAGGCACATGGAGGCTGGAAGGGAAGAGGGAAACCCAGGACTGGACAGGCTGGAGAGGTAGGGAATGTGACACAGCCTTATAGTCACAGCTGAGCCCCCAGGGTGCTCTTCCTTCTGGAAATGTTGCCAAGCACATCTTGAGGTATCAGGAAGGTGAACAGAGCACATCAGGACACCTGTACCGCTGGTACATCCCAGTGCCAGAGCATCCATGGAAAATGAACAAGTTTCCCCCTTGAGCCAAAAGAAATGGCACAGCAGAAGTTCCAGATGTCAGGGAATCGGGAATCTCTCCCAGGACCTGTGGGGAAGGTGAGGAAGGTGTTATTTGGTGACAGAGAGGGACAAGCCTGAGGTGCAGTGGCTGCATGTGCTGCATCCCAGCTGCTTTTGTCCAGCAGATTTTCCAGCAGGAAGTTTCCAGTAAAGACCAGTCCATGATGTGTTTTGCTGTCCCATGTCCAGAGCTGATGGGGGCCAAGGCACTTTAGAGGAGGTGAGAATCCCTCCACTTCCCAGGAGAGCAGTGGGATGTCTTGGGGATGAGGAGGATACTCTGGGATGGGTGATAAACAGCATTTGAATTTTTTTGATGGTCTGAGCTCTTGGGTCACTAATGTTGGCAGAATCTGTTACAGTGCCTGGCTGTAGGGGACATTATTCCATGTGGTAATTAGCTTTATTTTTGTGGTGGATTTAGCTGGATAGATGAGTTCCACCATTACACTCCAGTGGGTTGTTTGAATCCATCGCTATTCAACAAATGATACCAACACACATTTCCCACAGGAGCTGGGAGCTCTCTCATGATCTTCCACGCTGCGATGCTCCAGCTATCCCAGTGCTTAGGAAATGATTTATCCCTCTCCATGATTTCCCCCAGGCTGTCTACAAGGCGTGGCTGTGCTCCGAGTACTTCAACGTGACCCAGCAGCAGTGCCGGCAGCGGATCCCATGCAAGCAATACTGCCTGGAGGTGCAGACCAGGTGCCCCTTCGTGTTACCGGACAATGACGAGCTGATCTATGGAGGTTTGCCTGGCTTCATCTGTACGGGTAAGGAGGGCCGGGCTCACACCGGGCACGGGGCGGGGTGATGGTGAGCCCTGGGGAATTTCCAAACCACTTCCCGGGTTTGGAAGTGGCTGGAGTGGGAGGAGGGGCAGTGTAGAAACATTGCCTGATGCCGAAACACGGCCATCTCAAGGATATAGGATAAGGGGTTAAGACAGCAATATCTCAGCCCAGGAGGTGAAAGTCCAACCTCTGACTGAAAGTTAAAGCATGGGAGGAGCAGCAGATGATGGGTTAAAGCAGGGTGGGAATATTGAACCGCTGTGAGCAGGATTTGAGGAGCCCTGAGCTCACCTTGCTGGTGTGTGCAGGCTCACAGATGCACTGGGGCCAGTCCCAGGGGGTGTCTGGGTGTCTTCGTTCTCAGGTGTGCCCATGTCACTGCTGGTGGGCACCAATGCTCGCTTCCTCCACAGCCTCATCCTCAGTGTTCCACTGACCCCTCCTTCTGCTTCCTTCCTTCCTTCCTGCAGGGCTGCTGGAGAACCAGCTGCCCAACGAGGAGGCCAAGTGCTGCGAGGTGCAATGGGACTCCTGCGAGCACCCCCCAGACAGCAACGAGGACACATCCCCCAAATCCACAGCGTCAGAGTCACTCCATTTCCACCGCCACGACCCCCACCTCCATCACCAGAGGCAGAACCACTACCACCTCTACCACCACCACCACCACCAGTACCACCAGTACCACCAGCCCCACTCCCCGTCCTTGCTGCCGGTCTCCGCGGGGTCTCGCCTCAGCAGCAGCAGCAGGATCAGACTGTGTGTGCTGGTCCTGATGCTCCTCCACACCATGGTGTCCTTCTCGAGCGTGCACGGTGGCGCTGGGGGGCTCAGCCTGGAGGCCCCACCTGCCCTGGAGGAGAGCGTGGCACGGGATGAGTGACACAGAGGGCAGAGCCGACCTCCAAGGAGAACGCCAGATCTTTTTCCATAAGGGGGGCACATGCTATTCCTCCAATGGGAGGCACGGGATTGGGGGTGGCGCACACGCACCCCCGCACATCCCCCAAGAGCTGCTCGCGGGGCATCCCCGTGGTGAAGAGTCTCTAACGCGCACAGGGCTGCGGGACCCGGCGCCAGAAGGGTTCGGGCAGGGCCAGCATTCCCGGCCCCGCAGGCGCCGGGCGGGCAGGAACAGCACGGGGGCGGGGAGACCGAGGGGTGGGGTCCCTTGGAATCGAAGGGTGTCCCCATGGGACTGCCGAGGGTCCCCCGGCCGCTGCCGCGAGTGCCTTGGGCGCCCGCGCCTCCCCCTCGCTCCGTGCCGAGGTTTGACGGTCGGCCCAGCCCTCGTTCCTTTTCTCCTGGGTCTGTGAATCCCGAGGGAGCAGGCTGAGGGGCAGCACCTCCCGGCACAGCCTGGCCCACTCCTGTCCCAGGGAAAAGCCACCGGCTCGGGGCAGACTCGCCCTGGTGGGGCGCAGTGTCCTCAGTGCGGCGCTGCCTCGCTGGAGGCGTTTGGGGACAGGAGTGGGACGCTGTGACACTGCACTGTGGTACCACTCGGGGTTGGTCTCACTGCATCCCAACCTGCTCCTCCAGCCTGGCCTTTCCTGCTCCTCTATGTGAGGAGGAGGAGAGGGAGGAGGCATGGAGCAGGAGGGATGTCCCCAGCATTCCCACATCCCACTTTGCCAAGTGTCCTGATGATTTGGTGTAACCTTTTCTGTTGTCCTTCCTGGCTGGTGAGACTGGTCTCAGTGAGGAGTTGGGGAGATGTGACTCCAGCAGCACACAGGCTGTGAGGGAGAGGGTTCCCACGTGGCAACAGTTTGGATGCAGGGAATCCCAAAGGCATCCTTCCGTGCTTCCCAGCTACAAATCATTGACTGGATGGCAGGAGGACTGGGCAAACGGGCTGGAGAAATCTGGCTTGGAGGGAGAGTCTCCCACACAAAGAGGCACTAATAAAGCCCAGCTAGGGAGGAGCATTTTTGTGAATAGTTTCAATCCATGGATGCCCCCAGATCCGGAAATTTCTGGGAGCCCAGCTGGACTTGGCCAGGCAAGGTGCTGGCTGGTGTAGCCTCATTCGACTCACTTGGGGTGATTTTTTTTAACCTGAGCTCAGCATATCCAGGGATTCAGCCCCAAACAAACATCAGATCTCTAGGATCTGATCCCCAGGTCATTTCCTGGGAAACTCCCAATTCTCCACCCACCCACCAGAACTGTTCCCAGCATGGACACTGCGAGGTGGTGCCTCCAGGCCGGGCACCAGGGGCTGTAATTTGTCCTGGGTGTGGGCAGGGAAGGAAGAGAGGGTGTTTTGGCACAAGATCATGAGTTGGGTGTGAACTCACTCCCTGCTCCCAGAGGGGCTGGGATGGTCCCTCTATTTCCAGGCTGGCTCTTGACAGGAACCTACAGCAGAGCCCTGTGTGGGTCACTTCAGGAGACAGGGATGGAGCAGGAGGAATGTCCTGCTGCATCCCAAATGGATCCCAGATCCCTGTGAGGGTGCAAGAAGTCTCAGAGCTGATGACCTGTAGGAGTTTTGTAGTTTCTGGTCTGTTGAGGTGAAGCAGAGCCCCGTGAGCAGAGCCCCATGAGCAAAGCTACTTCCTGCCTGGCTGGAAGAAGGAAGTACCAGGCATCTCGTGGGAAGCACAGGTTTCCTGACATTTCCAGCCCATTTCCAGACCAAAGAGGCTCTGAGAAGCAGCTGAATGTTTGATTCCTGCTTTGACTTGAATCTCAGAGCTTTGGGGTGATGTTTACACACCACCAGTTGCCTGTTCCCAAAGTCCTGCGGAGACGAGGCCTGTGATCCCATTGTCCCATGGGTTTTGGGGTGGGAGAGGTGGTGCTCATGGAAGATGGAGAGTGTTTCCTGACCAGATTCCCTTGCTGTTGCCACCCAAAAAGTAGGATGTCTCCCATTTGACTATTCCTCATGACATCCATATAATTTCAGCCTAGTTTACACCAATCAGAAGAGTTGGACATGGAGCAGTTCTGCAAACCGGGATCCAATCCCTTGGTTTTCTGTGAGCAGTGGGTTGTGGAGCTGCTCTGACAAGGAGTAAAAGCTCCCAGGCAGGCCAGGGGAGGGAGCACAGCCCCGTCCCTGCCTCCAGACAGCCGGATCCTGAAGGAAATTAGATTTCTCCTGTACTGCCAAGAGTTAAGCTAATTCCAGGCGCCTCTCTCAGAGATAGACTGTGTCCAATCTTGGAGCGACTCATCGGGAGAGAGAAGAATAGCCCAGTGTGGTGCGTCAGCAAGTGGCCCTGAGTCACTGGCCCTGTTCATTGTGTCATGTGTGACACTGAGCAGTGCTGGCGGGCACACGGTGGCCCGGCCCAAGTCCCTGTGCCTCATCCAGATCCGGCACCATCCTGAGGGATGTGTGTCCTTCTCCCTGCCCCAAAGCCCTTGTGCCCTACAGGTGATGGAGCATCAGACCAGGCTTGGGGGTGGTGGTGGGTGTGGGATTCCCAGAGAAGCTGTGGAAGTGTCCAAGGCCAGGTTGTACAGGGCTTGAAGCAACCTGATCCAGTAGGAAGTGTCCCTGCCCATGGCAGAGGGTGGAACAGCCTAAACCATTCCATGATTTCATGATTTCCACAGAGCTGCGGGAGTGAGATCCAACAACCCAAGTCATCTTCAGGGTGTGCGGGCAGGGATTTGCTGGGATAACCTGGGAGCTGTGAGAAACAGTTTCACCTTCCCTAACACCAACTGGAGGCTTCCCTTAGGAGGTCAGGAGCGTGTGTTGCATCCCAGGGAATATGGAAGTGGAGCCAGTGCAGAACTGGGCTGGTTTGGGTGGCTACTGGAGAGGTTTGAGCCCCATCCACTGGGAGTGAAGAGGCCTCTAGGGCAGGAGATCCACACGTTTTCCAGGCCGTGGCTCCCAGGGGGTGTTCCCAAGAGAACGAGATGCCAGAGAGAGCACAGGGGATGCGGATCCTCTCTGGGAGCGTGGGATGGGCTTTACCTGCTGCAAGTGGAAGGAAAGTGCTGAGTCTTCCCAGAGCGAGGCTTTGGAAGGAGATCTTTTCTGTAGCGAGTCTGGGCTGCTGTCAATAAGTTTTGTGGTTTTAGGGCACCATATGCTGCATTCAACACTTTGCCAGTCTCCTTAAATGGATCCAGACAAGGCTGTTCCCAGAGCAGGAGCAGCTGGAAGTGGTGTATGGAGCAGTCCATCATCAGGAGCCCGTCGGATAAAATTCCTGCCTTTGGTCTGACATTACAACCTCCTAATCCTCCATCCCTGAGCGCTCTGGCTTTGCTCTCTGAGAGAACAGCCCAGGAAGCAGACGGTGACATTGTCTCACTTAACACCACTGGCATTATTTTCATTTCAAAGTGGAGGGAATGTGCCTGGAAAAGGAGGGAGTGTGCTTGGATAAAGAAGGAATGTGCCTGAATAAGGAGGGGAAGAGCTTCCTTACCCTGTGCGTCCAGGGATGCTGAGCCCTGTGTCCACCAGAGCAGGGCCCTTTGCAATCCCAAATGCTTTTCACATTCCCAAATCCACCTTGGAAAACACGAGCTCTAAATGATTTACCCAACCAGGAACTTAAACCCAAGGGGCTTTGTCTTTTTCATCCAATGATCTTATCTCTTCTCCCTAAAGAAGATGTCCCGTGTTGGGATTAATATTGTAAAACTCAACTTTTCCTTCAGTGGACAAACTTCTCTTTGCTCAGAGAAAATTCCCAGTGGGAAGCAGTGATTCCTCCCTGGTGAGGGGGTTTCTCATTCCCAGACAAATGAGGGATGGTGATGTCTCCACAAGCTCCAGGTGTGGGCAGAGAGAAGGAACAAAAGGAGCTGGGTCCAGCGTTATTCTCGGGTTTTGCACTTTCATGTAGCTGCCAGTTGTACAAATTAATTAAAAATAACTGAAGAAAAATCCCAAAGAAAGGCCCCGCTTCCTCTGGGGAACATTAATCATTAGCTGAGTCTTTTTCTTATGAAAATACAGATCCATGGTAGCCCCAGGCAGAAGATTCCCAGGGAGAGCCCTTACCATTCGTGCTCGGAGTTAGGGAAATCGCTTTGAAAGCATCTGACAACTAAAGCAGAACATGTTGAGTAACTTGGCAACACTGGGAAAACATCTGGAACTGGTTTTCCTTCAACACATTTTGCTTTGCTTCAAGAGGAGATGTCAGGGCAGTTCATTCACTGCCACTCAAGGCCATGGGCGGGGGCAGGAGACACTCAGCTGCCGCCTGGAGGAAGGGAATAAAGGGAAAATCCTGGATATCTGCCTCTCCTGGGCAGGATTCTGTGGGGCCAGGCCATGGAGTGTCGCTGTGTGGAGCTCTGCAGATGCCACCTGGTCTCTGGTGGCACCAATGTGGTAGTTTGGGATGGGCTGTTGAGGTTGCCTGGAAACGCTCTGGCTGCCCCAACCTGGTCCAAGGCCAGGAGCAACCTGGGATAGTGGAAAGTGTCCCTGCCTATGACAGGGGGTGGAACTTCATGATCTTGAAGGTCCCTTCCAACCCAAACCATTCTGGGATTCCATGATTTCCACAGAGACAAAGGGAATGAGGTCCCATAGCCCAGGTTACCCTCAGTTTGTGGTTCATCCTAATCCCTGCTGGCATCTGGGAAAGGAATGCCTGTAGGGCTTGGTGGAGACAAAGTCACGACAGAAACGTTACTGGATTCTGCCAGAAAGTGATGGGGCAGTGTACTAGTTTGAAAGCAAACCAGCGGGAGATTCCAAGTCAGAATTATGATTTAAGAAGAAAATTAAGATAAAGGCAGTAGTACAGAAACACTGGCTTGGACTGACAGAGTCAGAGCACGACCTGACCCCCTGCCAGTCAGGGTGGTGGTAGCAGTCTGATTAAAAGGTGCCTGCAGTCCTGATGGAGTGATGGAGAGGCTTCTGTCGAAGCGGTGATCCTGCAAAAAGATCTGGTCCTTCTCTGGAGGTCTGGTGGTGGTTTTGGAGCTCTTGTCCTCTGAGAATCCAGTGGTAGTGCTCCCATAGT